AAATATGACCTTGCAAAAATCCTTATTCCCAGCTGTTTACATTATTATAATATTCTTAAGTTTAATTTCATGAACTTCATCTGTTTAATTGAAAGTTACAGCTATTACATGTTGCAACTATTTCTTTCTCCCCTTGAACAAAGACTCCCACCTAATAGTGACCAATCGGCAGGTACACACCACTAGTTCAGCTTTTGCTTAAATGGAATGCATCTTTAAATGCCCTCTCTGCATGTAACCAAAACACATGTAACCAAAACACACCTTCGATATAAAGCTTTCTTAATCATATTTCTCACTAACAGAATACTGCTTCTTCTGTACACTTCCTGCCATATCATGAACAATATGGGGCTATGGGTGATGCAATAGCCTCAAAGTCTAAATGGCCACAAAAAAGGGAGCTGTAACAGAGCTGTAACACAAACTAAACATCATTTTATTTCTATAATAGGAATTGCGCCATCCTCATGCCCTCCTTTAATCCCTCTCATCCTTTATGCGAATGGTTCAGTCCATGTCCTCGGTGGTACCACATCAAGTGGCTTCACTAGCTAAAAGCAGCTGCACACTCACAAAATTCAGTGAGTTGTTTTTCTCAAGTGAAAACCCAGTGGCCTTTTATCAGGTACCTGAGATATGGATTATGATAAGAGATGACTGCAATGAGAAATACACGCCTCATAAGAAGATAAGGTCTAAAAATGGAGACAGACCTCCAGCATCACTCTAAGCTTAACTAGTCCACGGCTCCTATTGCAAGCATGATGTTGGGAGACTATCATCAAAGCATCCAAGCCCAGAAGTGATATAATGACCACAACACCCTTTTAAAAGTATATCAAACTTTACAGCGACCAATATGAGATCAAGTAAAATCACTTAGGGGTCTCTCAACTAGCATAACCAGATGAACAGAACAGAACAGAAAAAACTAAACAAAGATAACGATACCATCACAAAGATTAACGGCAAAAAAGCACAAAACATAGCCCTAATATCATTTTAAAGTTCAAACTAAAAGGATATGGAGTGTGATTTTCAAGAAATCAAGAGAGGTGATTTACTTCAAACATGAAAAATCCAGTGGTGATGTTTCATGATTAAGCATATCCTCTTACACTCCCACTATCAATAAAAAAAAGAAAAACTGTATACAGTCGACCAACAACATTTAGTGACCCTAATCTTTCGCATACTTAAGCATGCAAATAAAGTGGCCAATATAACTCTGTTGCCGCAGCAGATAACTACAAGAAGAATACTTAGCCACTGCAGATAACTGCTGGTGTATGGTATCTACATGTAATGTAAATGCCACATCTTTTATTGATTAAGATCACCAGGCACTAGAAATAACTTTAGTCATTCGATAGTAACAATTATAAAGTGAGGATCACTGCTTTGTAACTTTAAAAGAGCAATGTGCTGCAAAGCAACAGCCAGATTTTCAGACAAACCCAACACAGCATGAACAAAATGATTATCAGCATACCTCTTTGTTCTTCTTAAAACTAAATAACTCAGAGTCTTCAACTGAGCGCTCACGATCTCTAAACAATTTGCGAAAAAAATTCTCAGTACCCAGGCTGCTTTCAAGCAAGCTACCACTATTGTTCTTTTCATTCACAGGAGAACTTTTGACCTCTTCAGGATGCACACGAAACAGTCTTCGAAACAAGGAAAAGTCAGAAGGTTCTTCTTCCTCACCATTGACAGTCCCCTCATCAGTTTTATCAGTCCCATCTTTCTTGTCCTCAAACTTATCCTTGAACAATTTCCAGAAGAACCCCTCTTTTTCATCATCCTCTGCAGATTTTGAACCTTTCTCTTCAAGCTTCAAGCTTTCTTCATCCTCGTTCTGATCATTTCCATCTTTCTTGTCTTCAAACTTCTCCTTAAAAAACCTCTTGAGGAACCCCTCTTTTTCATCGTCTTCAGCAGATTTAGAAACCAGCTTTTCATCACCATCACTCTTACTATCACGAAACAGTTTCTTGAAAAAGCCATCGGAGCTTGACATTACTTCCTCATCCTCGACTCTACTATTGTCCCTGAGAAGCCTCTTGAAAAACCCATCTGAGCTGGACGTCAACTCCTCATCCTCGCTTTTAATGCTATCTCTAAGCCTCTTGAAAAAACCATCTGAACTTGTTGTCAACTCCTCATCCTCGCGTCTACTACTATCCCTCAAAAGTCTTTTGAAAAATCCATCCTTTCCACCCTCTTCCTCATCTTTATCAACTGATTTCCTAAACAACAAAGCATCTCTAGCCTTTGTATCATCTTTATCAACTGACTTCCTAAACAATAAAGCATCTCTAGCCTTTGTATCATCTTTATCAACTGACTTCCTAAACAACAAAGCATCTCTAACCTTGGGACCAGGAATAAACTTCTTAAAAATCTTATTCTCATCCTGTGACAATTGACTCCCAGTCCCATCCTCCTGCAAACCATTCCCCGATAATTGCGTAGACTTCTGTAGAGGTGGAGAAGAAGTCAATGACAACAACTTCTGTTTTGATGACAAGATTCTATTCAAAACCTGATTCTTACTCCCAGGACTCGAAGACTCATTCAGTGGCCTCAACAATGGCGGCCACTCTCCCATCAAAGTGGCAGCAATCTGACACTTCTCCTGAATCCTACTAATCCCATCATTATCATCCGAATCCTCAAGCTCCGCCAACAAAAACCAATGCACTTTCAAAGCTATTAACAACGACTTAGAACACATATCAATAACAAACCTATCAAGTGACGGACTTGGCTTATGTATCATCATATAACAAATTTGAAACAAATAACTCTCAATACCCGATAAGGGCAATGTATACATTCTATTACACAGATAATCCCGAACCCCAGCATGATCGTGCTTGTATAGATAACTAACTGCAATCCACTCACAAAAGAAAGATGAGTCAAAGAACCTAATCAACCACCCACTCTCACCTGACTCACTGGTTAAAGGAGTCGTCCTCGAGGTAATCTCTCGCGGAGAATCATCCGATTCTCCGCGAGTTAATCCTAATAGCCTCACCATTGTCTATCTACCATCATAAAACTATATATATATCTCTCTCCAAATCAGATCATTAAAGGAAACCCTACTACAAACACAAAATTAAAAAATTCCAATGTTAAACCCTAGAATTGACCAAAAACATCGATCCGAAACCCTAATTTTTCTCCTCCTAGTGGTTTCACTGATTCGAAATTGAAATGATTCGAGATTGAAATGCCTCACTGAGACAAGCAATCGAAATCAAAGCATTAAAAAAAAAAAAAAAGCTAAGCCGGAGGCAAGCAACAGGTGAGGCAAATAACCGAGAGAAATCGAAAAAAATTTCTGTTTGGTTGTCAAGAAAATTAAAAAGAAGGATGATCGGGAAAATGAGAGAATTTTGAATTTTTCACCAACGGTAAAGAAAATGTTAAAAAGAGAGAGAGGATCGTCTCGGTTGTTGTGATTTTAATCGGATTTTGAGAAGGAACGACGTGTCGTTACTGGTGTTGGCAATGGTGATGGTGGTGGGGCAAGTGGTGGTGGTAGTTGTTGTTGCAGCAGAGAGGGGGGGTAATTTTCTTTTTCTTTTTTAATTTAGAAAATTTGAATTTTTGTTTTTCTTATATTTTTTTAATGTCTGAGGATTTGGGTTTTACTAAAATGCGCTGATGGAGTGGGAGCACTTTAAGAGGCGGATTTATTATTTATTATCATCATTAATAATTCATTATGACTAACTAATTTGTTTTATTTCGCATTGTTTTCCCTCCAAGCTTAACGTGCAGTTGATGATAACAGGAAAAAAAAGGAGTTTTCTAATAAAAAAATAGAAAAGGGAAAGGGAAATATGTGGGAAAAAAAAACATTGGAGAGATTAAAATATGGTTTATAATGAATTTATTTTTATTCTCCATATCTCAATCAACTCTCTAATTTATTTTTCTAAACTCTGTTAGATTGTTTATAGAAAAAGCTTTCTTTCAAGAAAAAGAAATAAATTAGGGTTCTCCATGATTAAATTATGAATTAATATGAGATGCCTCTAGAGACTTAGTTTTGTGAGTTTAGACTAGGATCGATGGAATTAGCATAAGATAATATTAATTATTATTAGGAATATTTGGGATATAATAATAATTATTTTTTAAAATATTTTTGTGTGAGAATATATCAAAATAATTATTTTTATTTTTTAAAAATTATTCTTAATATCAACACATCAAAATAATTCAAATACACATGAAAAAATAGCTTGTAATTATATATTCACATGAAAATTATACATCCAAATCTCAACAACTAAAGGATTTAAAAAAAAAGTTCAATTTGCTTTTTAAAATGCTTGAAAAAAATATTATCATGATTTTTTGAAGTTTTTTTATAATTTAATGTGTTGATTTTAAAAATAAAAAATCTAAAAAATACAATAATTTTAGAATATTTTTAAAATACTGCTTACATTATCAAATGTATACTAAATATTACTTTCAATATTTATATATATACTTCTCCTTGGCTTCCAAGGCTGTGGTATGATTATAGGTGGGGTTTCTGAGTCCTTGAGATAATGATAAATATTATTTTTAATTTAAAAAATATATTATTTTAATTTTTAAAATTTATTTTTAATATCAACATATTAAAAAATAAAAAAAAAATAAAAAATATTTTTTTTAAACCCGATACAACTACAGCTATTAGTTTATTTGAATATCAAGATTCAACTCCCATTTATCATTGGATTAATAAACCTTAAATCCTTAATGGTAGGCCATGGGATCTTCCAAGAAGAACGAAGGTTCCTCGGAATATTTGAGAACATGCCATGTTAGCATCGCTAATCCCGTTAATGTGAACCGGAGATGGTGGCTAGAGGAATCTATTGATATGCCACTCTGTATTAGGGTTGACAATGAACATTAAGGCCAGTTTTGGTATTATATATACTTATATTTGAATTCAAAACTATTATTTGTACTCGACTCATCATACCGTAGGTATAGTGAATGAATCTTGTATATCCAAACCTAAATTAATCGAAGTTCAGTTCTTCCTTTAGATACTCACTAGATATTCCAACCACGACGGGCTGTGCCGCCAAGAAAACATAATGAGCACAGCAAATTGAAGCGGCAGAGTATCCCGCCTCCGAGAAAGTCAGAACCAGATTCGTTGGACTGTCCTAAACAACTAACAAACTCCTCATGAGCACAAATAGCGCACGCATCTTCAAATCCTGTAAAAAAAAAGAGAGAGAGAGAAAAGAAAACAGAGCAGAAAAATAAAATAAAACAACAGTCTGCTGTAGGAGAATCTAAAAATTGAGAGAGAGAGAGAGATTTGCAGAGATGGCGTTACTCCAGTAAAACCGATTCGCTCAACAGGTCCAGGTTTTTATTTTATTTTTATCTATTTCTTTCCGATTAGAAGAAATGTAAACTTTTTTTCCTTAATTATTTCTCATTTCATTATCAGTATTCCCTTTCTTTTTTGCTGATTATGATTATAAATTTAAATAATAGGAATCAGATTAATCTAGTGGAATAGTTGAAGTTTTTCGGCGAGCTTGGGTTGCGATTAGTGAATTAATTTATATTATTGCATAAAATGGTTGAATATTCTCTCTTTTACCGTTTTAGATGGATTACTGTCTTGGGGGTGAGAGCCCGGCAGTTCTGCAGCTCCATAAATGGGGTCCCTCTCAGTTCAATATTGACTTGTCGGAATTTCGGGAAGGTTTTATATCGCCGACGAGGGAGCTTTTGCTGTTACTGTCTTATCAATGTGAAGCCTTGCTCCTTCCTTTAGTTGCCGGCAAATATACTCGAAAAATCCTTATGTTTCTGTATTTTGTTACGGTATGCTTTGGTTGTGGTTTTCGTTACATATTGGTTTGTTGTTATTCTGTAATCATTTTGGCAGGGGAATCTGTAAGCAATCGTGTTTCAGAAACTTTGAATGATGAAAGGCTTCAATGTCGATCTTCAGCAGCTTTCAGCTCCGAATCATGGACAGAACCTAGAAGGTCAGATTTGAAGGATGATATTCCATGCACTAGTGCATCAGTAAAGGATTTTGATAATGGTTTTTCTCTTGAACACGAATTTTCAATATCTAATAATTCTCGTTTTGTTTGTGATGTGGATTCAATGGCTTGGGGTGTGTGTGGGGATACTTATAATCAGCACAAGGAGGCTTCATTTAGAGAGTTTCTATTTGTGTCTTGTAGCAATGGTGTTACAGTGCATGCTTTCCGTAAGCCTGATATTGATGGCGGAACAACTAAATCTGCACTTGATGATGAGTTTGGTCAGGGGAGGTGGGTTGATTGGGGCCCTTCCTCTGCACCAGCTAAAAATTTGAAGGATCGGGGCTCTTCAGGCTTGTGTTCTGAAGGCACATCTACCGTCGTGGCTGATAACAGGGCCAATGGAAACAGAGGAAGTCTGCAAGACATGGATAAGGAATAGTTACGTGGCCTGCGGTGATACCGCGGATTAATTTTTTATATAATAAATCAAAAAAATTAATAAAAAAATTTAAATCAATTGAATTAATTCATCAAATCTAAAATCTATATTATAAAAATTTGATAACTAAATAAAAAAATCTAATATCAATAAATAAAATAAAAAAATTAATTAAAAAAAAAGAAGGTATTAATCTTTTCACTATGGATTGCATTGTGCAATCCATAGTGAAAGGCATAAAAAAATAAAAATAAAAATAAAGGCATCGATCTTTTTACCGTAAACTGCATACAATATTAAAAGATGAAATCAGAAGAACAAAAATAATGAGGAAAAAAAAATCCGAATCAATTAAGTTAACTCACCAAATCAGGTTAACCTGTTAAAGTTGGGATTCGTGTCATGAAAATATGATAACTAAATAAAAAAAGATTTAAATAAATACAAGAAACAAATAAACAAAAGAAAGACAGCTCAGCGTTTCGCTATGAAATGTATTGTGCAGTGCATAGTGAAACACTAAGTAGTTTTAGTATATATAATAATAATAATAATAATAATAATAATATAAGTAAAAAAAGATTAATTAAAAAAGACAAAGCAAAGAGAGAAAAAACCTATAAGAAGAAAAAACAACTAATGAAGAAAAAGAAAAAAAAACTAAATCAATTGGGTTAACATGTCAAACCTGAGATCCATGTCATAAAAATCTGATAATTAAACAAAAAAAATTTAATATTAAGAAACTAAATTAAAAAAATAATTGAAAAAAAATAACAAAAAAAAACTAAAAGCATTAGCTTTTTCATTGTGGACTGCATTATGCAGTCCATAGTGAAATGCTTAAAAAAAATGGAAATAAAAAATACGCCACGAGTTATTTTTTTTCTTTGCATAAAAAACATCAAAAAATGCTAAGATCTAAGAATGCTATATCTTTCAGCAAAGATATACTTAAGAGCCTTTAGTCTTGCTGCAACGCTTAACCCAAAAGTAATATTTATAATATTAATAATATTATTAAACTTACATAACTCAAGTTTGAGTGAATCTGGTTGCAACACCGGACCCAAGAGCCTTGGATATAAGTTTGGTTGTAAGGTCATGTTATAAAAGTGTGATAATTAAATAAATTAATTAAAAATAAAAAATAAAAAAAAACCAACATGAAGAAAAAAACTAATGAAGAAAAAAAATTAAAATTAACTGGGTTAACCCTTCAAATTAGATTAACTTGTCAAACCTGAGATTCGTGTCATAAAAGTTTGATAACTATATATAAAAAAAAATTGACGGGTTAACTCAAAATTAACTAGGTTAACCTGTCAAGCCCAGGATACGTGTTATGAAAGTTTGATAATTAAATATAAAAAAATTTAACATTAACAAACTAAACCAAACAAAAAAAATAATTAAAAAGAAAAAAAGCAAAAAAAAATATTATGGGTTAACTCACCAAACCATGTTAACTCGTCAAACTCGGGATCCGTGTCATGAAAGTCTGATAACAAAATAAAAAAATTGACATTAACAAACTAAATTAAACAAAAAAAATCATTAAAAAAACACAAAATCTTTTTTAAAAAAAAGCCATGAAGGCATAAAAAAAACAGGAAAAAGAACAGAAAAAAATAAAAACAAAAAAGAAGAGCAATATATATTATAATTAGAATATAATAATAATAATTATTATTATTATTATATTATATAAGTGGTGTTGGGAAACCTACAGTATTTTCTCTATGCCCTTTTAAAGTATTGCTTAATTATCTTAATACATAGATAATAAAGTTAATGACACAAATATACTTTTCATCAAATTTATTGAAAAAATATATATAACATACAAACTAGTTATTTCACTCGTGCTTCGCTGCATATTAAATATTTTTATTTTTTATAAAAAAATTACATATGCAAGTTTTTTCAATACATTTCTGTAGTTTAAAAAATTCAAGTTCAAATTAAAAACTTTATGCATACATGTAATAAAATAAATAAAAAACTATATGTACAAATAAATAAACTTATTACCAATATATAAAAATAAAACTTAAAAAACTAAGTGACAAATATAGATCAACACATTTAATCTTAAAAGATGAGACATTTTACCGAGTTGTGCTTTCTAAACTTGTTTATTAAAATAATTTTTTATTCAAGCAAATAATATTAGAAATAGGTACCCAAATTAAATTCATTTAATAAAAAAAATCATGTAAGGTTACACATATTAGAAATATTATCTTAAAATAATTTTTTTACTTTCAAAAATAAAGTTCATTCATACAAAAGATTAAAAAAACATATAAATGAATAATAAAAACTCTTCAAATTTAAATGCATAACTAAAAAATATTTGTCATTCAAAAGAGTCTCTTTAAACAAAATGAAAGAGAAAAATAGTACTAATTTAAATATAAATTGAAACAATTTAAGAAAAAACCATAAAAAAAAATTTAAAAAAAATAAAAAAAATAAGAAGCAAAGGCCAGACATTGCTAGATATGGCAAACCAGACTAGCCCACCTAGCCCATCTTATCAGGAACCACGTCAGACTTGCCTTGGTCCCTTAATTTTTTTTTCATGTCATTTACCTTAAATTTTTTTGAAAAAAAATCCAAACATCCCTGATAAAATTAAGTTCCAAATTATCAAAAATTAAAAGATAAAAGATTGAAATGTAAAACACAAAAAATACATAGTCAATCTCAAATTCATTATAATTTTTATTTCAATTTAAAAATTTATGTTGTTTATTTTTTAGTTATTAACGTTTAGAGAGGAGAGAGAATGTTATTTGAAAATAACAAGAGGAGAGAAAAACATTGGTTATACCTCTTTTTGATAAGGAAAATTGTTATTCTTAGTGTTAATGAGTTCATTCGATGAGGAGTTTAATAATTATGATGTTGTTCTCCACATATCCCTCTAGAAAGGATATCAAGCTTGATTTATAGTTTTTTCATGTTGTTATTTTTTTTAGTGGTTTTAGAGTTATTAAGTGGTTTGAGGAGGTTTTTGTGGTGTTCCAAAAGTATTTTTAAATGAAAATGGGTTGCCAAATGGGTTTGCAATCTAAAAAACCCAATCTTGTTATTTTCACCACTACTTTGGTTGCAAAATTTTTGATTTGTGACCCGTGAGGCGATGCGACGTCCACCACAATAGATAACACATCATTAATTTTTTTAAAAAAAAAATGGTCATTTGCCTCTTTAAAAAGAAAAAAAAACACTAGTATTCCTCGAGCTTAGTAGGCCACCTAGGCTCGTACACCTAGACTAGCCTTTTAAAGTTTTTTCTTCTTCTTTTTTCTCATTTTTAAATTGGATTTTTAGTGGTTTTTTTAATTTAATCCTTTCATATTTAGTTAATTTTAACATATAATTAAATTTAAAAAATATTATTAAACCTAATGGACTTTATGACTCAGTCATGAGTTTATTAGGTTGATTAAGCTTAATCTAATTTGTCTTCAACTTAATGTTTTTTTTTCAAAGATCTTTTTAAGATTTTTCTAAAGCCAAACTATGATTTTATTGGTTATTCAAGTTATCTCAGATTTATGTGCCTATATGTTTTTTGATTATTAATTTTTTTTCCTTTGATTATTTTGATTTGTCAAGTTAATGCAGTCACATCAAGAAAACCTTTATCCATTTTTATTTGAAAACCAAGTTAGATAAGATGTCAAGAATTTTCAAGTTAAACCTATTAGACTAGCTTCATGGACACACAAAAATTTTTCGGCATATGAAGGGCAATAATATAGTAAAGTAAAAAACATAATAATGATAAAACCCAAAAAATTGTAATAGGAGAAGAAAAAATTAGATTATCTTACTTGTAGGTCATATTTAGATGTGTTTAAAAATGTGTTAGTGATTATTTTTTAACATATTATTTGTTTAAAAATATATCAAAATAATATTTTTTATTTTTTATAAATTATTTTTTATATCAATAAATCAAAATGATTTTAAAATATATATAAAAAATTAATTTTATATAAAAAAATTTAAATTTCTAAAAAAACACTGTTCGAAATATAATCCCAAGTCAACCCCTTATAAATTATTGGATTACTAAGCCTCAAATATTGGCGCCAATAGACGTATAATAAAAATGAAGAAGTTACTACTACTACATGAAATTGTAGATTGAAAAATTGCATGTGAAATAGTTTGTTTACAGAAAAATGAAAGAATAGAAATCCACTACTGCTACGTAACTACGACTGCTGCTACTCCCTGCAGTCTTGAAAGAAAATGGCAAACAACAGAGGATATTCCCATCCCAGAAGCTCAACTAGATTTCCTTCAAGAGGACATTTTCTTTTCACAATTTGTTTTTGCCTCTTCAATTTTCCTTCCACTCTTTGCTTTTACCCTTACGGATGATGATATCTTAAAAGAGGACATAAAACTTGAAGAATCACAATATCAATCTCAGTCTATGAAGATGAAACAGCGACAACAGGTATTGTTATGGCTTTCTTTTCTTTATTTAGAAAAATGGGTTTTGCTTTTTGTGCTTCATTTGTTAATGGGTAGAGATGAATTCATTTTTTTAAAAAAAAAATCTTAGTGGTTCCTTTTGTTATTTGGAGAATTGGGTTTTCTTTTCTTTTTTGTTAGTGTTATTTATTTTCTTTTTTAATTCCTTATATGATGTTGTTACTCAATTTTGGACCCCACGTGCTAGAGATGGTGTATACCCGTTTTGAACCAAATGTAGGAGTGTAGCTCATGTTTGCTAGAAAATTGACAAAAGCGGAGGAGAAAGAAAGATTTTTTTCGAACCCTGTTTCAGCCATCTCCTGCTCTCTTTATCCTTCCCCACTGCTACCGAAATTGTCAGGATTCTTAGGCTAATTAGGATTCCTTATAATGCTAAATTCATTCCTCTTTTACATGGGCTGTAAGGTTGAAATAAATCCCTTGAAAGTGGCACTAGAAAACCTAGTTCTACTGTTGCCGCAATTTTTTTGTTCCAACTTAGACCCTGATTCTGACTTGGGTTCGTGCAATATCTGACGATCCCAATTATATTATATCACTCATGACATGTTTAAGAATGGAACTACATCTTTATTGGGTCCTAGGGCTCATTTTTCTTATGGCAGGCTCTCAGTCGAGGATGCTTGGCATTGTCAGTTTCCTGAATTTAAATCGGGAGACCCTTTTTGACCAACCAGATTGTGGCCTGATTCTGTCATATCAAACAATTATATCTCACCTTGAATCCCCTTGAAAGCCATAGTCCTAAATGCATAGATGAATTTGGGCTTTTGAATCAATGGATTTCGATATCAGAAGCTCAAGCTCTGCACGTTTAAATATCTGACGTGAAAATAGAGAATTCTGCCGCGAGCAGGATTCTGACCCAAGTTTTGCACCGAAAAAAATTCTACTGCCATCACGATTTTTCTGTTTCATTCTTAGGGTACTCCCAGTCATATCAGGATGCTTGGCATTTGTCAGTTTTTGAATCAAATCAGGAGACCCTTTTTGACCGACGAGATCGCGGCCTGATTCTGTCCTATAAAATGATTATATATCACCTTAAATCCCTATCAAAGTTGTAATTCTACACACATAGATGGATTTTGGTTTTTGAATCACTCGATTTTGATATCAGAAGCTCAAGATCTGCACGTTTAAATATCTGACGTGAAAATAGTGAATTCTGCCGCGAGCAGGATTCTGACCCAAGTTTTGCATCGAAAAAAAATTCTGGTGCCATCATGATTTTTTCTGGTTCATTCTTAGGGCACTCCCAGTCATATCGAGATGCTCGACATTTGTCAGTTTTTGAATCAGATCAGGAAATCCCTTTTGACCAACTAGATTGCTGTCAGTTTCTGTTTTATAAAATGATTTTTTCTCACTTCGACTCCCCATCAAAGTTGTAGTCCTAGATGCGTAGATGATTTTGGACTTTTGAATCGCTTGATTTCGATATTAGAAGCTCAAGATATTCCTGTTTGAATATCCAACGTGAAGGTAGAGAATTCTGCCGCGAGAAGGATATAGCCAAGTTCGCGGGACTAATTCGAAGGATTTTTTCTGGACCAAGGACTGAATCAAAAAGTGTTAAAATGATGGATTTAATTGAAGAAGGATATGGAAAGCTAGAGACGGGGGCTGGATCATCATAAATGGAAGGATTTTTACCACACCGAATAAGGAAGATAAGACTTTGCAACTTCACCCTCCATCTGATTTCTTTCCCTTTTTCTGTGCTGTTTTCCTTTCTCATCATGTCTGATTGTTGAAGCCGAAGACCACGTTTTTGTTGCCTCATTTCAAAGGTAGCAGCTGGCTCTATGGAAGGAAATAAAAGAACCACACCATCCTCCAAAACTGGAAAGAAATCAGATGTAAAGCACCACCATAAAATCAGAATTTGCAGTTTCCTTTTGTGTTTTTTTTTTACTGCAAATCAGTAGGGATTTGCTTCTAAGATTAATGCATTGAATCCTTCCTAAATAGATATAGGTTAGACTATATATAAGCCCCTCTAATGACCTAGGGCCAAAAAAGAAGAAAAAGAGAGCAAAAAGGAGACGAAAAGAGAAAAGAAAGGGGGAGGAGAATAGAGGAAAAGGAGCAGCAAAGGAGAGGAGAAAAATAAAAAAACGAAGAGAAAAGAAAGAAAAACGAACACAGCAAAAGAAAGAAGAAGAAAAAACAAGAGGCAGGGAGTTAGTAAAAAACGCAGGTAACAGGGGAACAGAGGTGTTTTGTTCTTTGATCCATAGAGCCTTTGGTTCCTATACATCCTTTCGTCACTGTGAAAGAAACAAAAGAGAGGAGAAAGGAGAGGCAGGCGACGGGGAAACCAATTATTTCATCTGTTTCAGCATCTCTATTTTCGTCTGTCATTTACCAGCAGCCAAGGAGGCGACGGTATTCAAGGAAGCACACTAAACCATTTCAACGAAGACCTGCAGGTATTTGTTTTGATGTTAAAAAAAAAAGAACTCTTTTATCTTTTGGCTAAATCATTTCAGCGAAGACCTGCAGGTATTTCACTTTCGTTTTTTATTTCCTTTTTGCCATACAATGAATGCTAGCTTTTGTTTCTTCCCATGGCTGTGAGTGTAGATTTTCTTTTTTGTGTTAGAATTGCAGTTTCTTTGTTTCATTTAGTGCATAAGGAACCGGGAGAGGAGGGGCTGTCATCAACCCCCTCTTTAGCTCAGATTTTTTCCTTTTCTACTTCATATTTTGGTGGGGAAGGAATTTGAAATTTGCGGGGAAACCTTCTGCAATTGCAGTAAGGTTTTGGGTGGATTCTAAAGGAGGGCGTTCATTTTTTTTGTGATGTTAAAAGACAACATTTTGTGTTACTGTTCAAGTGAATTATAATTCACTTGAACAGTAACCAAACAGTTTTTTTTTAGGTTTAAAAATGAACCGAATTTTATTTGAGAAAAATTAGTTTTTTGAGGGACCATCTTTGTTGTGTTATATTTTATTCATTTTTGCAAAATTTTGAGAATATATATATATATATATGCATGCGCACGGTTTGTGGTCTTTAATTGTGATTTACTGTGATGTTTATGTTTCGATAAAAAAAATAAAAAAATATATTTCTTGTGTACTGCATACGGCCTATACCCTAACATGTTTTGAACATTTTTTTTTATATACAAAAAAAATATTGGAAGTTTTGAAAAATGTGTTTTCACATGAATTTCTTAAACACAATGAAAATTGTTTTCTTGTATTTCTGGATTTTACAACATGTTTGTAAAACTCCAAAGGGTATTGGCCAATATTTCAAAAAAATATAAAAATCTTATTTTGGGGAGAATTTATCTATTATTTACCACTAATGTTTGGATGAAGAAATCCTTAAAGGACGAACATCCAAAATATTATTGGAAATAATTTGTTATTATTCACTGTTAATATTTGGATAAAGAAACCCGGAGTGGTAAATATCCAAGATAATTTTTTAGGAATAATAAATCCGCACACATCCTTGAAAGAAGCCTTGATTATAATCGAGGACATTTCAATTTTTTTTTCCACGGTTTACGAGCCGTGAGAGTACAAAATACCAAGGCAAAAATAGGCGTTTAAAGCACCCTAGATTTCTAATTTTTTATCCTTCCTCAAGATTTACGAGTCACAAACTCTTGAAATACCAAGGGAAAAAATGAGCTTGTAAAGCGCATTGAATCTCCTTGGATTTCTTTCTTAAGAAATTTATTTACAATCGAACCGAGAAAAACTAATGAGATTAGAAAACACCAACACCATAGCAATTATAAGACAAACACCAAGCAGCTTACCTTAGGTAGGGCGTACTAGGGGTGCTAACACCTTCCCTTTACGCAACCAGTCTCTTTCCTTAGAAACTCTGAAAGACTAGTTAGGTTTCCTAGTGACCATAATACTAGGTGGCGACTCCCTTTTACACAAAAATAAAACTAAGAGACCCCGAAATCAATCGATTGGTCGCCGCGACGCCGCGCTCCGCTCGCGAGGGTGCGACATATGAGATCATACTGATTCAATGATGTTAGCAAGATTGTTCTTGTCAATTGGGGAATTCTTTATGGTGTAAGTCAAAGGGAAATGAGCCAACGTTTATTTTTCTTTTGTTCTTTTAATATAAGAGTTCTTAGCTTTTGTTCTTTTAGATAACTAGGTACTTCTTTCATAATTGTTGTTTGATGGTTGGTTTTGGTCCAAGAAACAGTGGTTCTATGCTTGAATTTTCTTGTGATTTTTTATGTCAAAATTACTTGGGATATTGCTGATGGGATTGGATTTCAGAGAAGTTTGTTAATGTCTTTCAGTCCAAACCATGTTTGGTTTTTTTATCAGATAAGTTAGTGGAACTAACAATGATCGCATAAAAAAATAGAAAATTCTATCATTATTGTCTATGCAAAGTTTCTATTTTCTCTCAAATTAGGGAGAAATTTTATAGCTCTGAGGGATAAATAATTCTGTTTCCATGACAATATGAAAGGGTTTGAGGTTGTGGTGATGATGACAACCTTTGATTTTATTTTTTTTTATTATTTTTTTGGGGGGTTGGGGGAGGAGTATGTGGTGGGAGGTTTGTGCTTGGGGTTAACCTTTTGGTAGTAAAATGATCCAACTATGTCTAATCAGCCCGAGTCTGAAACTGTTGGGGTTAATCGTGGAAGATGTCTTACATGCTTCTGTCAAGAATCTCTCTCAAGTAATGTAAAAAATATCACTTGACTTCCCTTCTTCAAAAAATAGCTGGAAGCCTAGTGTAATTTAAGCAGATAAACGGTAAACATAGAAGTCATGAACGATATAAACCCAAGCAGGTGGGGAGCATCAATTGAAAAGGTGCCTGTGTTTTTAATAAGGTCACGCCCCATTAAATGTCAATTTGGAAACAAAGGTTAATATCCTAGTAATTGCAAATTTTTAAAGATATATTTCTATTTAATAAGCATTTTGGGTTGAAAGGCATTAATATGGGAGGACAACTACATGACTGGCCTACATTCATGTCAATAACAAATGTAAGGATATGTTATATGCTTGTTTAATTTTATAATGACAATATAAATTGTTTCATGAAAGTGGCTTATCAAAACAAGCCACTAAATTCTTTTACTCCTTACGTTTTTAAACTACAACAGAAAATATCAAAATATCATTCTTTATTTTCTATGAGCTTTAGTGGGCTCATATCCTTTTCACAAAATAACTGTTGTTAATCTTTAAGAGGAAGTAAGGCTACTCTGCTTCTAATTTTGCAGGTGTTAGATGAAAAAAATATGAGTTGCTCCTCTCAGCCATGGCTTTCACCCACGTGTCAAGCCAACAGCTAGACATAAAGGTTCAAAGAATAAACATATACACGTACTTTTTGTCTCATTGTTTTATAGGATCTTTCCATCTATTCCATGTTATAATGCGCATTTCATGTTTAGCTGAACTTGCCTCTCTTTTTTTTATGCAATTGTTTTTGTTTTTAGTTCTCCCCCTTTAATGTAAAGGATAATAGGTGTTTCATGTGTGGTAGTTGAATAATGTACCAGCCTGCAGCCTTATCCTTGTATGTTTTCTTGTCTCATAATGCCTTAGCTTCCTCATTCTTTCTCTCTCTAATCTTTTCTAAATTAAACTTGGAAATATTAGCTGCCCAAGGATCAGACCACTGTGAGAAGCAATGGAGGACTAAATCAAATGCGCACCGGTGTAACTTTAATAACATCTGAATTGTGCTTGCTTTCTTTTGCATCCATTCTCTTTATGGTTTATGTTATCGACTGTGAAACCCCATTGATAATTTCAAATGATCAAAAAGACCTTTTGCTTTAATAACAGATGCCTAAAAGGTCCTGAATAAGTATCATTTATGAATTTTCCAAGTATGGTCATTATAAATGATAGCAATGATGGTTTTCCTTCAATGAGAGAATATTTTGTGAACAGTTAACTAATTGAAAATGCAAGGGAAGATGCTTGGAGTAAGCTGTTCATTGCTTCATATAAGTCTTGGATGAGAATATAAAAGATAAAACCAGTAATCTAACCACAGAACACCGTTAACTGGTGAATATGTGAATGGGGCCTCACATTTATTGTGGATTACAACCCAATTTTGGCTTCACAATTTAATCTATAAACTTAATAACCTTGTTTTCCTGCAGATCTCAGATATGGTGGCTGCAGCACACATCATAAACGCAACCTTAGTCATTCCTCAATTGGATAAATGCTCATTATGGCGAGATACAAGGTGTTTTTAAGCAATCATACATGGTGTTCTTTTGAAATGTTTCAGTTGACATGCCATGTTTATCTCTTAAAATTTTCTTCTTTCTCATATTATATTGTTCACTTAACATAAGCCAAATGTGCAACACATTCTCTGACATACTTGACAAGCATCATTTCATCACAACCTTACAAGATGATGTAAGGATTGTTAAGGCACTATCGAAGGAATTGGTGTCAATTCCTCGAGCCAGGAAACACTTCATCTCCTGGTTTGGCATGGGTTATTATGAAGAGATGGCTTGATTATGAAGGATTATCAGGTATAAAAGACTAATTTCTTAAGACTAATTTCTTCAACCTCTAGTAGTCTTGAGTACTTTCTCTTACAAATGTTGGTGATAATTGACATATCTATGAAATTATTGCTTTGCATACATAATTGTCCTATTTAGAACTGTATATTTCAAATTTGAAGTATCATGAAATTAGAAGATTAGTGGGTGCATTCTTTTTTATCAAAATAAGCAAATATTGATCTTATAAACAAAGTTAGAATGGCTTGACTTCAACCTTTTTTCTTCCCTCCAAAATTACTTTTTGGAAAGAAAAACTTTAGTGTTAATCGATTCATTTTGGATGTAATTGTGTCTACGCTGATTTAATGTATTTTTGTAAAATTTGTGAAATATTCTTTTTTTTTTGTGAAATTTGTTTACGAAACAATACAAGTCGATCTAAATTAGTTCTAAGTTAATTCAGGATTATGGAATAGGTAAAGTTTTATAACTATTTAAAACATCAAAGATAAATATATAAAAGAAGACTACTTGTAACCATACTAAAGAAACACAAATATTCACAAGATTCCCCTCTTTTGTAAAATTTCATCCCACAAGACTAAACTAATCAACATCATGACTGCACACAGGAATAATTATTAGCCAGAAGAGGGTAGACTAGACTCGGAAGAACAAGAGGTTGGGGTTTATGTCTTGTGGAATCTTACGTTGGGAAGGGAATTTTGGAAGGAGATTTGCAATCTGTTTAGCCCTTATCAGATATGCTTCAAACTTATTAATATTCTCATTGTTTTCTTCAGCCACTAGGTCTTTAAATTCCCCTTTTTTGTAAGTCCAGCTACCAGTTTCCCAATTGAAGTGATACAATGGGAGAAATCGATGGCCGTAAATGGCTAAAAACTCAATTGCCGTAAGAATGAACTCAAATTCCTCATTGAACATGTAGTAGGGGAAGCTAAGTCTTGTCCATCCTGGCTTCACTCCAGCATAACCCTGCAATTAAAGCATAAAAGTAATGGCATCAAACTTTGCTTTTGCAGCGGCAATTTGTAAATCCCAGGAACATTGCTTTAGCAACCATTACGAATTTTGTCGCTGAATAGACTTTGGCAAAATGCTGGCAAACATCTGTGCTATTTCTCCTCCACTTATTTGTTTTTTAATTGTAAGTTTTTATGCTATCAAAATGTTCAAATATGCCACTAAAGATTTTTTCTCAAAACTTAAAAAGTGTTGCTAAAAATCACCTTTTCTATGGCAGATCTGATGGCTAGGGTGCTAGGCTCATTGACATGGAGCAGATTATGACCATAAGGTCCAGCACAAGCACAACCACCTCGAGCTTGAATACCAAATACATCGTTAAGGAGTGCTGCTATAAAAGGTCCATGAAGAGGTTTGCCTCTTTTCTTCCCTGTCTCTCTCCACATATAAAGAACCTCATCATTGACGTCTTTGTTACCAGTTCCATCACACTCATGTATCATGCCAGTCGAGGAAGAGTTCGAAGTAGGGTATATGAGAAAGGACAGTATAGCTTGTCGCCTGGCAGTCGTGTTACCTAAAACCCATATATTTTTATTTGGGAGGAGCCTGTTTAGTGCCTTTTCTATGTAAATATCCTCTTGTTCTTTAATTACTTGGTGACTAATATATTCTTTAACCCAGAAAGCCAACGACGCTCTGATGGTTTGGATTATTTGAGGAGTTCCTCCACTCTCTCTCTCCTCTATATCATTCAAGTACAGTGTATCCTGCATTTGATCATGTAGAAATATTAATCTGAGTTAAAATCTGAGCTAGGGTTAGCTCACTGACTTTGAGAAAATAGAAGAATATATAGGGCATACATACCTTTTCACTGAAACCATTTACGTAGTTAACAGTTCCACCTCCACAAGTTGATGGAGCAGAAGATCGCAATTGATAAAGGGCTTTTCTCATCAAAAGTATTCCTGGCGATCCAGGCCCCCCAAGAAATTTGTGTGGGCTAAGGAAAATAGCATCATAACCATCAAACTTTCCAGATCTCATGTCAATTTTCTCATATGGGCCGCTACATTCAAATACAATAAATAAAATTAAAATTATGCACGTCATGCATAGATGATTGAAATTAATTTATTAATTATTTTATCAATTAATAAAAAAGAAAAAAGAAAAACAAGAATAAATTTTGTGTTACCTTGCAGCAAAATCAAAACAAGCAAATCCACCATATTGATGAAGAAGTTGAGAAATTCCTCGAGTATCTGAGGAAATCCCTGTCACATTACTACTTGCAGAAAAAGAGCCTAAAATTGGCCTGTTTGCATGTCTATACGTTTCAAGTCGTCGTCTTAGATCTTCAATGTCTATCAAGCCATTGTCATCTAAACCTATCTCTATCACTTCAGCTAAGCTTTGCCTCCATGAGAGGAGGTTCGAGTGGTGCTCATAAGGACCGACAAAAACTACCCATCTCTCTTCATTACTCAGGCATTTTATCACCCTCTCTCTCAAAGTTGATGGCACGGCGATCCCAATTACTTCTTGTAATCTTTTAATAGCCGCGGTTGTGCCCGAGCCACAAAACATGATTGCATCATTTTTTCTACCACCCAAGCATTTCTTGATATATTCAGCAGCTTCATGCAACATTTTTGTGGTCCGATGCCCCACATGACTGTCACTAGTGTGTGTATTACCTGTACGCGTTAATTCTTAAAAGTTAAGACCTCCAATGAAAATTAATTTATATTGTACCATAAAAAATAGCCGGCAACATTTTTTCTCACGAAAGATAGAGTTGTGTCATAAAAAAAGTGAGAAAGATTAGTCCAAGCCAAGTGTGATTTGTTTAATTCAAATAATTGCAGGAAACACATCCCTTGATTTGAATTTACTTTTTAATAGCACAAAAGTCAAGTCAAACAGTGCCTTCATATTCTTAAAAGTCGTGCATGTTCCAAAAGGTTTATGGAAGGTTTCAAGTGGGGGTGCTACCCTTGATAACTTGACACTGGAAAAAAGGGAAAAACTATGAAGTCTAGCTATAAAATAAAATGAAGCAAGCAAAACAATGGTAAGTTACCGTAAAAGGGAAGAACATTCTTGATGATGAAATTCTCTATATAGCGAAGAGATCGGCCGGAGGCAGTATGATCGGCATAGGTGAGTCTTCTTCTACCAAATGGAGAATCAAACTCTACATCATCGCCAACAATTTGAGAGCGCAACCATGCCAGCCTTCTTTCAGTGGAGTTACTCTTTGTGCCACCATTATTTAGAGTTCTAAAGGATTCGGAGGAACCACAAAGATGTTCAATAGATGACGATATTAAAGAAGATGAAGAACCACAGCTAATTGTTGTGACCGACGGTGAGTTGTTTTCCAAAACAGTAAAAGTGTAAGTATTTTTTAAGGTCATAGCTGGAGCACTATGGGTGGTCTCTCTCAACATGGATGGCTCTAGTTCCTTTCCCATGTTACAGAACTAGATGGAGATGATGATGATGATGATAAATGAGTGATTTATTTGGAGAAGCTTAGGAGATGAGTATTTATTTATAGAGAAATATTATCACGTGGCAAAATTTAACTAACGACAACTCTTCAATTCAAGTGGCTTCCATGTCAAAGCCCATGACCCTCCATGTTTTGCTACATGTTAATATTGTAAGATATAGTACAAAAATAGGAAAATAAAGGTTTTTAATTTCTAGAAAACTTTGAAATAAAATTTCTTGTATAACTCTATGAATAATAATAATAATAATAATAATTAATTTTAATTAAATAGTTAAAAAAACAAATTTAAATATTTATCTACATGAAAATTAATCTAAAAATAATATTGTAAACCAAAGAAATTAGTGAACTCGAATATGAAAAGGATAGGAGAGGTTTTTCCAAGCTTATAACACACCAAACTGGCCAATCGCCATGGCCAAACTCCTGTGTTTCAAAAGCAACGAGTCTCCCACTTTTGATAAAGGCATAACCATGTGCTTTGATGATTTTTATTGTATTGTATAAAACTATTCCAGAGTTTCCTACTTTCTGGAATCAGTAACCTTACACTCATGGTTTTAAAATTATAAATGAAAATAAAAAAAATAAATATTTTTATCTAATAACTAAATTATTTTAAAAAGTTAAAGAAAAAGGAGAATTTAATTTCCAACCACCTCTATATTGGCTAAACTTTGGGAAGTAGAGACATATTGTTTGTTTATTATTATTATTATAAAAAGAAAGGGTGGATGAAGGGTCCTTCACCCCATATTTAAAAAAAAATAACCAAGTCCTAGAAGTGTGGGCATAGAATGAGAGAACTGTGCACCTGGGCTTTGATTTTTTAGGGATCAACGCGTGCATGGTTTTTTTTAATTTTTTTATTTCTATTTTATAAATTTATATTTAAATACACTATAAAAAATTATTATTTAATTGTGTAATCTCTTACAAAAAAATATTATAGGTTTTTATGTGAATTTTAATTCTATATTTTCAATTAATACATGCCTAATAAATTAAAAAACTCAAGAATATTTCATTAACATAACATTTATTTTTTAAAAGGTTTTTATCACACTTTTAATATAATTTTATCACATTTATAATAATTTTTTTTTGCTTCAAAAATATACAAATATTGTAACTTTATTTGAATATGTTATTTTAGTTTTTCTTAACATCAAGATAGATTTTTATTTCGAAAACAGTGCTTAAAATTTACAAAACATCATTTTATCGGGTTAATTCTTGGTTTTTTATTTTTTATTAAATAAAAATTAAAAAAAAAATACAAAGTTTGAGAAGAACCTTTTAAATTCAATTAGCTGGATTGGATCTAGTAACAATAAAGATACTTCGTGTAAACATGAATGCTATGATCAATCAAATGATTTTAAAATTGGGACAAGCATTATAACATTTTTAAAAAAAAATAAAATCAAAACAAAAACAAACATTTATAAATAAAATAAGCAACCATGTGCTCTAGTAGAACAAAAAAAAAAAGGAAATGGAAAACCACTAATCGATTAAGTAAA